TAGGCTCTTCCTGATGTGACTGCGCTGCCTACTCTAAGTCTGAGAAATTCCACCCTTGCACCACTGCGCATCCTTCCCACCCCTGAGGTCCTTTCCGCACTTCCTGTCGCCACCGGGATGCTCGCAGACTTGCAGGGATCCGAAGCTGTTGCAGAACCTTTTGCTACCCCGGGGGCCACCGGGGGTGATTCCTGACCGATGGGCAGGGGGTATTTCAGATAAGCGTCCCAACTAAAGAAAGCGGGTGAGGGGGAAAGGGGTCCGGGAAATTGGAAGGGGGTCTCATAGGGAACGAGGGCTCAAAATCAGTCCAATCCTATGTATCACCTGCGGTCATGGTCATGCTCGCGGGGGCCAGGTGCGGCCAAAAAACCCCATCATTTTTAATTCGTAGAATACGAGGCCAGAAAAAAAAGAATATATATATATATATATATATATATATATATATATATATATGAGTCGGTGAAACTCCGACGAAACAGTTTGTCACAGCCCCACACCCCCGCATAGGATAGTCGATCGTACAGGAGTGACCACGCTGCTAGATCGACAATGGCAACCACCGACACGTTCACATGTTGGACCTCAAAGTGCAGCTGGTGCTCCTCGACGAACTCGTTTCTCAGCAGTTGATCGGCAATTGCCGCCTGGAAGGCTGGAAGTGCTCAACCAGCTCAACCTAGTGTTCACTCATTCTGCAACGTTTGGCGACCTCTAGCTCGACAATGAAGATCGGGACAACGAGGGGGAGATAGAAGCAGAGGGGAAGGAGGAAGGAGAAGAAGAAGCAGAGGAAGGAGGTGGGGCCAAGGCACTGCCCAACGATGGCTGAAACGGCTGTGGCGCAGTTACCTGCTTGGTCAGGGGCCTGGCGTGACTGTTGTGCCTCGGGGTGAGCTTCACGGAGGGTCGGCCTTGTGCTCCAACTTCTGAAATCTCGTAAATACCTGTATTATTAGGCAGTATACCGAGGCTGCAGTTTGGAGGGCGCAGACTTCCGTACCTATACCAAATCGTCAACTTTAGAGCTGGGCAGTGGGCCCGCTGACAGGTGGCAGTTCTCCTAGTCTCGGATCTCCCGTTGATGTGTCAGATCTACAGCTCTTTGCCGCCGAAGAACTTATCTTGGATAGGCTCTGGCCAATCATGTCCATGTAGTGCTGAGCCTTGTCCCATTGTTGTGCCTTGGTGGCTCTAACTTCCGTACTGAGGAGCGGTGACTATCGCATGAAACCGCAGTGACAGTGCAGTCTGTAGAATTTTACCGGTGGTGTGAATAGTTGATGCCATTGGCCTGCTTTTGTGCATGCTCCTGTCTGGAGTATGTAGCACCGCCCTTCTGCCTGGCTGCCAATCTACTCGCTGTGTGCTGCCTGGCCTGCTTGCCCCCACTTCCCCTGCTGCTTGACTGCCCACTTGATTGCCTTGTTGCGTTTGCTTCGCCGTCTTGCTCAGGCTTGCTGCCTTCTTGCCCTCTAGTCTGACTGTGTGTCTAGCTGTTACTTGCTGTCGCTTTGCTCAGTCGCTGGCTGCCTTGAGGCATGAAGTTCCTGCCCAGCTGTCCCCCTTCCCTCTGCTCTTCGGTCTTAACTGCTCACTGTTTTGCCTTGCTGCTGCTTGCATTGCCACAGGCTGTCCCTTGGAAACATGAGCCTAAGTAGATCATGACTCAAACACGACTCAAAGGATCAGTGTTCTCTACACTGTGGAAAATTAGGCTTCTGATGTGCCAGTAAGAGGTCGGGGAAACAATCTGTTGTCGCTGACATCTCACTTGTTTTCTGCAATCCCGTGTCATGTGTATGATAACATGTGGTGTCATGTGTATGATAACATGTGGTGTTTGTTAACTAGGGCTAAACTACGGTTAAATGAAGTATCAAGGATTCAAGGGTTCTATTCTCAATAGCGCACTTGCACATGGAAATTTGGAATGCACCTCTGGAAGTTTGGTTTGAACCTGTAAGCTCAGTGAAACTGTTCTGGTGCGAGGCTTGATTGTTGATGTCAAGGCACGCACACAGGCACACCCACACAAGCACACCCAGTGTCACCCACCCACTCCCCGCCCCACACACAGTATAAGCATTCTTTTCTATGGGCATCCCGGCCTGTGGGCTCTTTCCCTGTGTTGTTCATATTAAGCACACCTTCGTACGCAACATACCACGGCACGATCACAGGAGCCTCGTACCACACTCACAAACACACACTGACAGTGAAGCAGTATTCTATGCGGAAAACATCCAAAACGAAACTGGCCATAGCCCTTCACACTTACAAAAGCACGATCCCATATCTTCGTTCCTTTCTCCATTTCCTGCTCCTTTTCTGCTTTTTTTTTCTTCAGGAAAGAATATCACCCCAGGGCCTATGTCCATCCGCCGGCAAGGGTTGCCCCTAGCAGACGGTCCATGGCACACCTATACATAGACTAAGTCATGGCACACCTACACACAGACTAAGTCAGGACTCGGGGCAGTTACACTGACAAAAAGATAAGAAACAGTGAATGGCAACACCATATGTTCAAAACTCTGTCCTGCAATTCATGCTTGGCATCCAAACAATAAGGTAAACTTCATCCATCCGCTCAGAATATCTCAACTTCATCCATCCGCTCAAAATATCTCCAATCCTCTCATTCTGCAGTCATCCCACCATCATGATGGCATCATCAGTGTACTTCTGCAGCTGTCCTCAGAACAAGTCAGAACAGCCAATCCAGATCCAAACTCAACTGAGTGAACTGCAAAAATTCCTCTGACGCAGAGTCCCACACTCCACCTTTACACAACCTCACTTCAAATATCTCGCACTACCCTCCAAGTATCTACTCTCTCTCTCTCTCTCACACACACACACACACACAC